GTGCACTGCACCAAGTGGAGGTGACCTCACCCCCCTGTGACTTGGTCTCTGTGGTAGGGGCTGCTCTTCCAGAGGGGCCTTGGCGACAGCCATGGTAGAACCATGGCCAGCAGTGCCTTGTTGGGAGGGAGGGAGACAGATATTGTTGGCAAGGAATGGAAACAGGAAGATGTTTAAGATCCTTTTGGCCAATGTGTATAGAGATTCCTATTTTGAGAAGGTCAAGGTTGAGCCTGTGTCACACAGGACATGAGCCATAGGCCCGGGCTTTTCTAAGTCAGCGTTTCCCTTGTTTTACCCACTGTGTGAGCAACCTTGGACATGTCGGCGCTGTGGCAGCCTCTCCAGGCTTTCAAAGATGAGCTCTGCTCTGGGAGCAAGGTGGGTTAGAGGGGATGAGGAAGTCAGCCCACTGGCAGCCAAGAGTTCTCCAAAGGGGAGCACTCTCCACACAGGTGGAGGCCAGGGGACATGGACAGGCTGTCCACCCCCAGCCACGAGACAGCCACTCCTTTCTCTGCAAAATAACTTTTTGGTACTTGCAGACTGCATTTCAGGGGTGGAGGTTTAGCCCTGCAGTCAAGACCTGGGTGAGCACGCCCACACCTGAGGCCTGGGCTCCTTACAGGAAGTTCCTGATCCAGTTGCCTGCCAGTGCAGACCCTGGGAGTCAGTGGTGATGGCTCCAGCAGTTGAGGCCATGCCAGCCACAGGGTGGCCTGCACTGAGTTCCCACCTCTAACTCTCTGTCCCTCTGTTGTGCCTGTCAGGGAGTGAAGTGGCAAATGCCAGTTCTCCATCTCTTGCTCTCTCTGTTATTCAACTTAAAAACAAACAAAAACCCTGTCTTTTAGGAAGGGAATCACTATAATTCCAACATGACTATCACCAAATATTTGGTGCCCTCCATTTTTATCCTGTATGCATTTGTGGTTGCTTTTAGTAGTTTTCATCATGATGCATATTATAGGTCATATTGGTATTTCTGCCTTACTATGTAATCACAAACATTTATGTAATGTAGTTTTCACAACGGATTTTGATTTTTAACTTTTTTTTTATTTTTAACTTTTAAGCTAGATAGTCTTTAAATACAGAAAGCCTTCACGTTCTCATTTTAAAATTCCAGTTGGAATTGGCATACAAAAGTACAAATCTCATGTCATCATGTTAATATGTTCTCAAAGATTTTTCTGTGCAAATAAACACATATGGACTTTTTAAATTAAAAGTCATTAGTTTACTTTATAACCTGCTTTTTCACTTAATTATACTTTATAAATGTTTCCCTGTCAGTAAGTATAAGCAAACACAATTGTTTCGGATGGCTACACAGACTTAATGGACTCCGTCAAATGTGTGCTACCCTCTAGAGTTAAGCTCTTTCCTGTTTGTTTCTCCAGCATGTGAATTGACTGTAATTTACATACACATGTAGTTATATTTGGACATGTAGGTACTTTTCTTATTTTGTTTCTTTTTTCTCTTTACTATAAAAAATAACAATGCGTTGAAGCTTCAGGCATATGGCTTTTCTCATATTTTGAATAATTTCCTGGAATGGAAATATCAGGTCAAAGGGCAGAGGCATTTTATGATCCTTGATTTGAATCACCAAGGTGCTTTCTCAAAGGGTTGTTTGTGCCAATTCAGATCCTTCCGGCAACATGTTGGTACCAGTTTCCCACCTGCTGCTTGTTCTCCAAACGTGGACTTGTTCCTGAAAATGCTGGTGGCAAGGCAGGGGCCCTAGGGACTGCGGAGGTCAGGAGAGTGGGATGCAAAGGGGGGCTTGGGAACAGAGGCAAGGGGGACAGGGAACTAGGGACCAGTACTCATTTTTCCTGTCACTTTTTTTCTAATTGAGAAAGTAATTCATGCTCTTTGTAAAAAGAAATCCAAGTTTCCCCCCAAATGTTTAAATGTTAGCTGCTCCCCTCCCCCCATTGACAACAGATTGGGTTTATTTATTTATTTATTTATTTATTTTTTTATTGGAAAGGCAGGTATACAGAGAGCAGAGACAGAAAGATCTTCCATCTGCTGGCTCACTACCCAAGTGGCTGCAACAGCTGGAGCTGAGCTGATCCAAAGTCAGGAGCCAGGAGCTTCTTCCAGGTATCCCATGGGTGCTCTGGTTCTGATCTAGCTCACTGCTATGCACCTGGGAGAGCAGCAGAGGATGGTCCAGGTGCTTGGGTCTGGACAGTTGCTCTGGATTCATCGCAGTCCAGCTATGGTCATTGTGGCCATTTGGGGAGTGAACCAGTGGATGGGAGATCACAGTCTGTCTCTCCTCCACCTACCACCCCCCAGCTCTTCCAAAATAAAGCTTAAAGAACCCGGTACAGTAGCCTAGTGGCTAAATCCCCGACTTGCATGTGTGGGATCCCATTTGGGTGCCAGTTCATGTCCTGGCTGCTCCACTTTCCAAGCTCCCTGGCCTGGGAAAGCAGTAGAGGATGACCTGGAACCTGGGACCCTGAACCTGTATGGGAGACCTAGGGAAAACTGGCTCCCTATTCTCAGGGTTTAGACCTGCCAGCAGGCCCCAAGGTCACCGAGGGTGTGGCAGACAGTAGCCTTTGTCCCCAAGAACCACTGGAGACAAGCTAGTGAGGAATGTCTCCTTTATTATGTAAAGGTTACAGGTTTTAAAGGGTAAGGAAGGGGAGGGCAGGAGGGAGCCTTCCGGCAGACCCCAAGCCCACCAAAGATGCTGTAATTGGCTGTGTGACAGGTCTACTCCCTAGATCTTCCAGTGATGCCAGAGGTCATGTTCAGGCATACTCCCCTGGACCTGATATTCCTGTTGGAAGTCACATTCCACGTGCAGGCCTAAAGGCTGTGCCTCAGGCCATGGGGAAGGTTAGGCTTAAGCCAATCCTTCCAGGCAGCAGGGCAGGGGTCGAGGGATTGCCCACACCCTACTTTGGATCAGTTCAGCTCTGGCCCTTGAGGAAATTTAAGGAGTGAACCTTTCCAATAAAAATAAATACTTTTTAAAAAGATTTATTTATTTTTTTTTAAAAGATTTATTTTTATTGTTTTTTTGATTGGAAAGGCGGATATACAGAGAGGAGAGACAGAGAGGAAGATCTTCTGTCCGATGATTCACTCCTCAAGTGAGCGCAACGGTCGATGCTATGCTGATCCGAAGCCAGGAGCCTCTTCTGGGTCTCCCACGCGGGTGCAGGGTCCCAAGGCTTTGGGCCATCCTCTGCTGCTTTCCCGGGCCACAGGCAGGGAGCTGGAAGGGAAGCGGGGCTGCCGGGATTAGAACTGGCGCCCATATGGGTGCGCCACCGCATCGGGTCCCAAAAATAAATATTTTTAAAGATTTTTATTGGAAAGTCAGATGTACAGAGAAGAGGAGAGACAGAGAGGAAGATCTTCTGATTCACTCCTCAAGTTGGCTACAATGGCCAGAGGTGGGCCAATCGGGAGCTAGGAGCCTCCTCCAGGTTTCCCACACGGGTGCAGGGTCCCAAGGCTTTGGGCTGTCCTCCACTGCTTTCCCAGGCCACAAGCAGGGAGCTGGATGGGAAGTGGAGCTGCTGGGATTAGAACTGGCGCCCATATGGGATCCCAGTACGTTCAAGGCACACACACCAGCCCAGCATGGGATCCTGGCATCACTTGTGGCACTGTACCCACTTCAGCACATCAGTCCCCAGATTATTTCTTACAAGTATCAAATGTGTAACTTGTTTTCAAAGAAAGGGCTTCACCCTACACACAAGGTTGTGCAATACTGGGGGACATATGTTAAGGGCTCTGGAACGAGTATGCAATGTGTGCAGATAATCGGAAATCTCTAGATAGATGCAATCTCTATCTCTCTCTCTCTATCTCTATCAATCAATCTCTCTATCAATCTCTATCTCTCATCTATCTCTAATACATGCAATCTCTAGATGCAAGCCTGTCCATTCTCCTGTTGGGGCCAGTTCCTCCAGGGCAGAGACCTTCCATTTCCCTTTTCCCCTCCAATACAAGCTCCTGGTACAGCCTCTTGCTGCCGCCACAGGAGCCAGTGCCAGGAAGAAGGCCTGTGCCCTCTCCCAGCTCTCTGAGGGTTTCCTCGCTCGCTGCCCTTCTCTGCAAAATGCACTGCGGGGCGGGGGGTTGGGATGTTGGGGGCAAGACCGGTCTGGCGGGCCAGCTCTGAGGACCTCTGCCCAACCCAGCTTTGCAGAAGGCCTGAGCCCACCTGGCCAGGGGCGTGGTCCTCACGTGAGGCCTGCGTGCACGCGTCGCCCGAGCCTGACTCAGTCCCGCAGGCTCTGCAGAACACTGGACAGACCCCGTGACTCAGTTTCTCCATTCGCTCACGCGAGCCAACAGCGTGAGGCACCGGAGCGGAATGCGGAGGGTGCCTGTACAAGCTTCCCCGAGATGCGTGCTCTCGGGCGGGGCCCCAGGGGCGGGAGGTGATGCCACCCAGATAGTTCCTTCGGGGCGTGCCCAGCACCGGCCTCGGGCAGCGTGAGTGCGCGCTGCCCCGGCGTGGCCGTAGCTCGGCCTGGGGGACTGCCGAGACGCCGCCTGAGCCCCGCCTGGCCGGGGTTCACTCAGGGCGGCCGGCAAGGAGGGACTGCCAAGGAAGAAACCCTGTTCCCGCGTCCCGGAACGGCCCGTGCCCACCGCTGCCGCCGCCTGACGCAATCCGGGGCACCCTTGCTGCATGCCTGGCGCTGGGGAAACCTCCCCTGCCCTTGCATCACTCCTGCCAGATTCACCTCAGAGCGGGAGCCGAGCCAATCAGCGGGCGCGCTGGGTCCGGGGCCGGCCGCGCGGCTACCCACTCAGAGGGCGGCGCGGTTAACCGGGACGCCAAGACCGAAAGTAATTGGCTCAAAGGGGATTCGCCCCGCCCCAATCGCAGCAGCTGCTGGCTGCCGGGGGGGCGGGGTCGGGTGGCCGGAGGATTTAAAGGGCGCCGCTGGAGGGGCTCCGGCAGCTGAAGCGGCCAAGAACGGTGCCAGGCCAGGTGAGCGCGTCCGTCGGTCCTTCCGCGCCCGCGCCGGAGACCAGCCCCGGAGGCCGCTCGGGCCCGTCCCTGAGCCGGGCACCATGAAGCAGGAGTCTGCAGCCCAGAACACCCCGCCCTCCTCGCCATCGCCGTCCACGCAGCCCCCCGGGGGGGACAGCGACCCCCAGGCACTGTGGATTTTCGCGTACGGCTCCCTGGTGTGGAGGCCCGACTTCGCCTATAGCGACAGCCGCGTGGGCTTCGTGCGCGGCTACAGCCGCCGTTTCTGGCAGGGAGACACCTTCCACCGGGGCAGCGACAAGATGGTGAGCATCCATCCGACCATGTCCCGGGGGGCGCGGGGTCGGGGCGCCGGGTTCGGCTGGGTATCCGTGCCCTCTGGGCCGAAGGAAGGCAACGTTCCTAGTTGTGTCCCAGGTTGGCAGCTGCAGCGCCGGCCTGGTTGATGGCTGGGTTCCATGAACCTGTGCGGCTCCTGGTGCTGGTGACTAGACTGGGCCACTGCTGCTTGGGTCGGAGGCTTTTTGCAGCGTTCCTGCGTGGTTGCCTCCGCACCCTGCTCCCAGGCGCGTGGGACTTTGAGCACACACAGAGGGGTTTACCTAGGTCTGGAAGGGCCAGCTGAGTTTCTTCACACCCATGGCAAAGCTGTTTTACAACGTGTCTTTAATCTCCTCTCCCCCCCACCCCCATCTCCAGCCTGGCCGTGTGGTGACCCTTCTTGAAGACCATGAGGTGAGTATCTGAGTGACCTTGGCTCAGCATGCAGGGGCCAGGGCTGGTGGGCCTTGGCTGCAGGCTAGGGGCCAGAGTGGAAGCTGAAGTAAGAATCACCTATAGGTCCTGCTACAATGCAGACTTTGATTGAGCAGGGTTAGCATGGGGCCCAGGGGGAAAGCACTCCTAACAAGCCTACAGGTGCTGTGGCTGGTGCCTGGGTACGCCTCGAGCAGGAACCTTGTCCTATGAGCTCCCTATGGAGACAGACCAGCTAGTCTCCTCCCCCCTACCCCCTTCAGAGCAGAGTTCTGGGGCCTGGGAGGAGGGGGTTGGGGAAGGGTACAAGGGGTGGTGATTCCAGGAAGGGGTCTGGACCAGCTGGGAGCCCTGGAGGCTGACGCCTGGCATCCCATTTCTTCCCAGGGCTGTACTTGGGGTGTGGCATACCAGGTGCGCGGGGAGCAAGTGGCGGAGGCACTGAAGTACCTCAACGTGCGCGAGGCGGTGCTGGGCGGCTACGACACCAAGGAAGTCACCTTCTACCCCCAAGATGCTCCTGACCAGCCTCTCAAGGCCCTGGCCTATGTGGCCACCCCCCAGAATCCTGGCTACCTGGGCCCGGCTCCCGAGGAGGCCATTGCTACGCAGATCCTGGCCTGCCGCGGCTTCTCTGGCCACAACCTTGAGTACTTGCTGCGGCTAGCTAACTTCATGCAGCTCTGTGGGCCGCAGGCGCAGGACGAGCACCTGGAGGCCATTGTGGACGCCGTGGGCACCAAGCTGCCCTGCTTCTGCCCCACCGAGCAGGCCCTTGCTCTGGTCTGAGGGTCAGAGCCCGCGTGGACACTGTGGCGCTGATCCCTGGCCCAGTGCCTTGGTCAGACTTGACACAGACACAGACAGGAGCTGCCGGGGAGACCCAGGGGCAGATGATGTGTATGTGGTGGGGAGGGCTTCTCTTCTCTGCACCTGCCTGCCCACCTGGCTCTCTGGCTGGGCATTGACTCACTACTTGAAGCTTTATTTATTGCACCATGTTGGTGTGGCAGGCACCTGCCCTGGATTTGGGGTCCTGCTGAGTGGGGACCCCTACCCTGGCCCCTTGGGTCTGACCAGATCCCCCAAGTGCTGCTGCTGCTAACCGCATACGCTACTGGCCTCGACCTCCCCAGGGGCTCCCAAGAGCCTTGATCCCACAACCTCACATCTCCTACCCCAGGCCCCTGAGGCTTCCAGCCTGCTGGATGTGGCAGGACAGGGAGTGCAGAGAGGGGTCCTGGCAGTGGCTGGAGCTCCTGCCAGCTCTGCCAGTCCACTAGGTGCCCAGGGCTGGTGCCTGGTTCAGGGCCTCTGACCCCTCCCTACTTCTCTGGGTCATTCCTGTCTGTCCATTGGTTAATTCCTGAAGCTATTCATCCCTACGGGCCCTGGCATTTTCCCCATCTGTCCCATCTTCCCACCCATAAACGTACCTCTTCCTCCTATCTGTGCTGTGCTGGTCTGCTCTGCTTTCTTTTGGTGGGGAGGGATGCTGGAGGATGAGTGAGGATGGGGCCTTGGGAGGCTCCTCAGAGGGGAGGGGTTTCTTCCCCCCCCCTTCCAGGGAGCTGGGGTAACTGAGCGGCCCCCCTCCTTGGCACAGCTCCTGTCCTCTTGGTGTGGGCCAACAGTGCCCTCTGCATGGGGTAGAACTTGGTCCAGGTGGTGCCAGGTTCTGAGGACTGTGGCCTGCTGCTGAGCTGGGACACTGTGTGCTCCAGCTGTAGGGCCAACGTCTTGTAGTAGCCAGTGGATTAGGGCTGGCTGGGGACATGCTGAGAGCTGTCGGCAGGGACCTGTGGCCTGGAGGAGCTGGTAATAGCTGGCCCTTTGACTTTCCAGTGCCTACTCTACCCTGCTGTCTCCTGGGACTGCGGTGTCACCCACGCTGGCGTAGTTGTCCGTGTGCCCTCCAGACTGCTATTCCTGTCCCAGATGCCCTACCTCCCATCCTGACTCCCAGGAGACAGGTCCCAGCTTCCATAGCTCAGCCTGACCCGGGTTCCCTAAATCCTGGCCCCGCAGAGGGGAGTCGGATGGAGACGACTAGGCTTGTGCTGCCGATGGTCCTGGGTCTAATCCAGCCCTAGCCCATCCTCAGCTGTGACTTTGGCATCAGTTGACTGAGCCGACAACATCATCGACCGATATGTGGGTGAGGCTGCATGCTGCCTGCAGTCCTGAGACCAGTGATCTGGATGGGTCTGGGTGTCCCCTGCAGGTTCAGCTGTGATGGCTCCCCCATAAATGGGACCGCCATCATGCCCAAGTCCTGGCAGCCTTGCGTCTTGACCGTTGATGGGAAGAGCATGGAGTGTAGCCAGATTCTTCTGGGAACTTGATCAGGACCAAGAGGAGGAGGTGCATAGCAGGCAGTCCTGGGCAGTTGGCCAGTTGGGCCAGGGCAGAGAGCAGAGCCCTGCTTTATGCTGGGGTAGGCTGCTTGCCACCTGTCCTTGGGCCCAACCCTTCCATTCGGGCACCATTTGGAGAGCAGGGGGATCAAGCAGGGAGAAACTCCTTGTCCAGGGACTTGAAATCTGGAGGCCGAGGGAGACCATTCTGCAGGAAAAGGCCATGATGGGAGAGCTCTAGCCTACCCACCTACGCACCTGCCTACTAGGGTGTCGGGAGAGGGGCGGGCAGGGAAGGCTTCCTGGGAGAGGGAGCAGAAAAAAGACGCTTGGACAACCAGCAGCCAAAGAACAGTGTGTGCCTCAGTGAGAGGTAAACCAGAGCCGGGCCAGTGGCATGGGACGGGGCTCAGGCCTGCTGAGCCGGGAGGCCACAATCCTTCCGGGTCAATGTGGCCTCCGGGTGAGTAGGGGTCACAGGCAGCCATGGAGATCCAGGGAGGTGAAGGCGGCCAGAGCGGAGGTGGGACAGGGAGAGTAGGGGAGGCCCACGAGTTTGCTTGGTGACCAGTTGGTGAGAAGAGACCCTCCACGCGAGGTTCTCCTACTGCACTTCCCAGCTCACTTCAGACTTCATGTGTGTGGTTCCTAGCTTAGTTCAGGTTTGTTTCATTTTGACTTATTAGAAGGGCAGAGTTAGAGTCAGAGGGCGCTTCCATCTGAGGGTTCACTTCCCTGATGGCTGACAACAGCTAAGGTTGGGCCAGGCTAAAGCCAGGAGTCAGGAGCTTCTTCCAAATCTCCTGTGTGGGTGCTCAAGAACTTGGGCCAACCTCCACTGCCTTCCCAGGCACATTAGCAGGGAGCTGAAATGCAAATGGAACAGCCAAGACTGGAATTGCTACCCATATGGGACGCTGGCACCACAACCCTCAGTTTAACCTGCGTGTCATAGCTTCTTTTCCCATGTGTTCGTATCCCCCTCAGATGTGGATAATTGTTCTAGAAGTTCACAGGATTTAGGGAGCCAGGATGAAGAGTAGTTGTGTGGGGTGGGGGAGGCGTGCTGAGCTTTCTTGCTGCCTCTGTCCTTTCTTAAAAGAAGATTAAAAATTCTCTGTATGTATTTGTTTTATTTGAAAGGCAGAGAAAAGGAGAAACAGAGAAACATCTTCCATCTGCTGGTTCAATCCCCAAATGGTCAAACGGCCAGAGCTGAGGAAATCTGAAGCCAGGAGCTTCTTCTGGGTCTCCCACATGTCGTCGACTGCTTTCCCAGACCACAAGCAGGCGGCTGGAAGGGAAGCAGGGCAGTTGGGACACGAACTGGTGCCCATGTGGGATGCTGGTGCTGCAGGTGTGGTCGTACACGCTACACCACAATGCTGGCGCCCCCTCAGTTCAGTTCTGACCCCCGTTACCTGGAGGCAGCGTCAAAGGGACCACGCCTGCTGGGTGAGGCCTTGGCTCCGTGCCTGCCCTGGCTTCAGGTGCCGCCATAGACTTGGCTGTTTTTCCCATGCGGCGCACGACCCCCTCAGGTGTGGTTAATTTGCTCTAGGAGCCACAGGTGAGGAGGAGCGTGGGGTGGGGGAGGGGTGCTGAGCTTCCAGGCCCCCTCTCAGGAGCTTCACGAGTTCGGCTATCAGAAATCCTGTGTTTTCTTAAACATTTAAAATTTGTATTTTAAAAACAATTTAAAAATATTTTTGTTTGAAAGGCAGAATTACAGAGACAAGGAGAAACAGAGACGATCTTCCATCTGCTGGTTCATTCCCCAAGTGGCTGCAACAGCCAGAGCTGAGCTTATCTGAAGGCAGGAGCCAGATGCTTCTTCCGGGTCTATGTGGGTGCAGGGTCCCAAGGCTTTGGGCCATCCTCCTCTGCTTTCCCAGGCCACAAGCAGAGAACTGACTTGTGAATGGAGCAACCAGGGCACAAACTGGCACCCATGTGCTATGCCTACTATGCACCAGAACATTTAAAAATTTTTACTTATTTTATTTCAAGGGGAAAGAGAGAAAGAGAACTATCTTTCATCTGCTGGTTCACTTTCTAGTGGTCAGGTCTGTGCCAGGCTGAAGTGAGGAACCTGGAACTCCATTTGGTCTCCCACATGGGTGCAAGGCCCAACTATTTCCTGGTGTGTATGAGGGCGTTATCGGGCAGCTGAGTCAGAAGGGGGGCAACCGGCCGGACTTAACCCAGTGAGTGCTCTGTATGTAGGAGGTGTCACAGTGTTAACCCAGGGTCAAGAAGCTCACAGCATTGATAAGTTTAAAATTTAAAACTAATTTTAGAAAATGTTTTTAAGAGATTTACTTGGAAGGCAGCATAGCAGAGGGAGAGGGAGACAGATCTTCCCTCTACTCATTCACTCCTGCAATGCCCACAACGGCTAGGGCTGCGCCAGGTCGGAGGCAGGAGGCAGTGTGCCGGGTCCCAGCGCGTGGGCCGCCCGAGGGGTCCCAGCACGTGGCAGGAGACACCGCCAGGTCCCAGCACGTGGGCCGTCCGAGGGGTCCCAGCACGTGGCAGGAGGCAAGAGTGCGGGGGGAGGGGCGGGGGGTCCCAGGGTCCCAGCCCGAGGGCCGCCATCCTCAGCGCCTTTGCAGCTGCTCCGCCGCGGCGTGGGGGCGGGGCCTGAGCCACAGCAAGGAGTCCACGGGGGAGGGGGGGGCAGGGCAGGGCGCGGAGACATGCCGTGTGTTGGAAGCCCAGAGCTGGCCCTGAGGGCTTCGTTTGTGTTGTGGTGCTGTTCCCCCGTCCAGGATCTTCTGGGGTGGCAGGGGGAGCGACTTTGAGGGCCAAAGTGGGAGGGAGCACAGGGTCCAGCCGAAGCGACCAAGGCTCCCCGTGCCCAAGCCCCATCCCCCAACGGTTCACTAAGGTGTCACCATGGTAGCGTGGTGCCACTGGTGGGACAGGAAATGCCCGGCCAGGGAGCGTGGCTGGCTAAGCAGGCTGGGGGGCAGGCAGAGGGTGTGACCAAGGCCTGACTGGCAGGGGCCCCCAGCCCACCCTACCTCCACAGCCCAGGACACACAGCTTCTGGAGGAGGAGGCCTGGCTCTCTCCTCTCCCCTGCCTCTTGCTGGCTGTGCGGAGCTCCCCTCTTCCTAGGTCCACCTTTCCTCGGCCCTGCCTGCCTTGGGCCCTGCACTTATTGGGCATGGAGAGAGCACGCAAAGCTTCGTCCCTGCTCCCTCTGAGCTGCTCTGGTGGGCTTGCAGGCTCCTGTCCTCGCAACAGCACACGCTGTGTGGGGCCGGGGATTGTGCTCCTGCGCATGCTGCAGCACTGCTCTCCGGAAAAGAGGCTCCCGGCGGACGGGACCGTCCTGACCGCAATGTCACTTGTGTCCTCCCTGGGGAAAGCCTCCGTGAGACCTCATTTATCGCCACCACGGGCTACAGGCTGATAAGTCACCGTGGGTGTTTATGGGGCAAAACCCAGCCACGCAGGGTATGGGAAGACCAATAGGGGCCTGCTGCCATCCAACACAGGCCCTTCTCTCTCGCTGCTCCCCTCTTCCCTCCCGCCCCTTGCCCCACCAGGCCCTGGGACATGCACCAGGGGAAGGGGCTGCCCTCACAAGTTCCCAGTCCCCCTACTCAAGGCGCTCAACTGTGCTTCTCTCCTGCGGGAGTAGAGGAGGAAAGCAAACCTGGGTTCAGGAATACATCCCCAGTCCAGCCATGGCTTCCAGTCAGACTCAGCCCAGCCATGGTCCAGGACAGATGGGCTGGGCCAGGGAGGCCCTGCTGGGAAGGACAGTGTGCTGCCGTACTGCTCAGCTGGGGTGCCTGTCATCTGTGGAAGACCCTCTCCACTCTCTGGCCCAGCCCAAGGGTTCCCAGAAGAAGACCCAGTCCTGTGGAGCCCAGGCTCTGGAGAGAGGGGCAGGTGGGCCAAGCTGCCCCAGCACCAGCCCTTCCCCCCAGGGGCGGGGGCCTCTATCCTGGAGGTCTCTCCCTGTCCCTGGCCTGGCTGATGTGTCCCCTCAGGGGTTAGGGCTTAGTGTACCTGGCATCTCCTTCACCTCAACCAACGTGCTTGCTCAGAGTCACATGTCTGCTACCCCCCTCAG